GGCCCCGTGGCCGGTGCCCGGCGTGGGTCCCAGAAAAATCGCAGGTGCGGGCGACCAAGCGGTTGGTAGTCCTTGCCACCTCGCCCGTGGAGGGAAGGTGGAGAGCGGGAAATCAGGAGGAATGGAGGGCGAAGGGCGAACCCTGGCGGGAGGAGACGAGCGGCGGACGCATCGGGCGTCCTGTCCCCTTCACCTCCGTCCCGGGAGCACGCGGGGGCGGGAGCCCTGGCGCGGAGGTCGGGGCGGGAGCGATGCTCCCCTGCAGCCTCATCCCCGCTTCCCTCCCCAGGAAAAGGGGGCGATGCTGATCTCGGGTAGAACGACGGGACCTCCCAACGCCGCCTGAGCCACGAGGTAAGGAAAGGCGAGCGCGGTCCTCGGGTGCCCGGGGCTCTGGCCAAAGGTGCGGGGCGGCGATGCTGAGGCTGAGAATGAAAGCCTTAGAAATTAAAGTGAGCGTGAAGTTAGTAAATGAAACATTAACATGTTAGTGAGGGCCCCTTAAAGCCTTTCAGACCATCGGGAATTCTAGGCACAAGATTTTGAAGGAATCTTTTGGGGACGCTTGGTCCCGCTGTGGCCCCGTATCCTTTGCAGGAGTCCCAGCAATCCGATGTAGCTTGTGACTGAGGGTAGGTAGGGGTAGGGTGGTGGGAAAGACTATCTTCCTTGTCTTAGGCGTTGTTGTTGTTGTTGTTGTTTTTAATATATTGATTTCAGAGAGAAAGGGAGAAGGAGAGAGAGATAGAAACATCAATGGTGAGAGAGAATCATTGATGGGCTGCCTCCTGCACCCCCCCCACTGGGGATCGACCCCCCACAACCCAGGCATGTGCCCTTGGCCGGAATCGAACCTGGGACCCTTCAGGCCGCAGGCTGATGCTCTATCCACTGACCCAAACCGGCTAGGGCAGTCTTAGGTGTTTTAAAACGGGTCCCACCGCCAGCTATCTGTGCCCTGTGTATTGCAATGGTAATGACGCAACTCAGTTCTTACTTTTGGCTCACAGTCTTTCAGAGATACAAGGCCATCGGGTTTGGATCCGTGTAGAATTGTTAGCCACTGTCCTGTTCTTAGAATCGTGTCTGATGAAGACTTTTTTTACTGGGTCAAGTTTTTTTCTGTCTTGTCTAGATAGCCGTCTAGGAGGGTTCCCCACACTTAACCAGGAAGCCCTGTCAGTTTACTCCCGCTGTCTCCAGGTCTGCATGCCTGTGTTCTAGTTTATAGAGTCTTCCTTTCTCCAACTACCTGCCTATCCGTATCACGAACGCTTTACCACTAAACGTTCTATTCGCACACAGCACCACCTCTTACTTTCTGCAGTTCCAGTCACCTCTATCACAGCAGTAAAAGATTTGCTGGGAGTGAGAAAACTCATGATGTTGCAATCTTCAAAGACCCAGGGCATCTTTAGGTTAAACCACCGTGGCCTACTGGGAACATTGTTTGGAGTACTGACATTTGTAACTTGTGATCCAAGAGTTGCTAGCTTTGATTTCCTCTCTTCATTGGCCCCAGGAGTTTCAGAGTTCAGGTTTCATTTGTGTGAGGCCATATCATTCCAGCAGGCAACATCTGCCCAAGAACACAGCGTGGGAGAGCCAGGGAAAGCCAGGCTCTCTCCTACTGGGCAAGAACAGAAGACATCGCTTATAATGATCTGTCTGTTTTTTCAAAATATATTTTTGTTGATTTCAGAGAGGAAGGGAGAGAGAGATAGAAACATCAATGATGAGAGAGAACCATTGATTGGCTGCCTCCTGCATGTGCCCCACTGGGGATCGAGCCCGCAGCCTGGGCGTGTGCCCTGACCGGGAATCGAACCGTGACCTCCTGGTTCATAAGTCAGTGCTCAACCACTGAGCCATGCTGATCAGGCACGATCTGTGTCTAGACTAGTTGAAATCTAAACTTTGTTCCACAAATGACTGACTACAATGAACATTCTGTCTCTGTCCTAGTTAGTAAGGATTGGGCCACTGGTGAAATTTTAATAATTAGGTGGTGTGTGCCATGAGATGAAAAAGGTTGAAAAGGTCGGAAGGTCTCTAAAGACCATATGGTATTAATGGAGAGTGGATGGGTGGGGAAAACATTAGTCCTGGGTTCTAATTTAGCCTGTGGCCACAATCAGCTCTGTAGTTTGAAAAGATCACTGAGTTATCTCCACCTGGTGTCTTTGTAAAGGAGGGTGTTATGAGGGTGTTATCTTAGTGATCTCTTAAGATCCCTTTAAGTTTTTAAATACTATGATCCTGTCCTTGTTCTAAGGACAATGGTATATTCTTTGAGGATTAGCATCTCTTGTGCTGGAGTCAGAAAGGTAACTTTCCCACCTTTCAGCCCCTCCTTTCCAGTTCCCTTTAAGACACGGTGCCAAGTGTGACTTAGAGTGAAAGCCTAATCCATCTAGGAATGTTGTTGCCTGTGAGCTCCCTGCTTCCCGTTCTGGAGCTGGAGTTGGGGGTCCTAGGGAAATAGGGCCATTTGGATCACAGTGATTGGTTCCCTGAAGGGGCCAGAACAAACAGCTGCTGAGTTTCCCTTCGCCTTCCAATTCCTGATCTCAGCAATAGCCGCTTATATAGAGCCAGACCTTCAGTCTGCCTAGCTCCAGACACACAGCTTCTCAGGCAGCTCTGCCTCAGACCGGGATTGCTTCTCTAGGTAAGTTGTCTGCCCCAGCAGGATAAGACCACTCTCCCTGGCTGTTCCCCTGGCCCCAGCTCCTTGGCTGGTTTGCTTCTCCCCAAAGTATTCTATGATCCTGACTCTGAACTGCTGGTCCCAGCACGTTGCCCTCTCACTGTTTTTTCAAGAAGCTATAACTTTATTAATGATAGAAACAGAACAGATTTCAAACCAAGCTGCAGTTACTTTTTTGAAACTCAAAAAAGTCCTCATTTTTATTTTTTAAAGTGTGTTTATTTTTATATATATTTTTACTAGAGGCCCGATGCACGAAATTCATGCAAGAGTAGGCCTTCCTTCCCCCAGCTGCCGGCACAGGCTTCCCTCTGGCACCCGGGACCCTGGCTTCGCTCAGGCCGCCAGCAGGCACTCAGGACCTGGGCTTCCCTCCAGCCCGGAATGATGTCCGGTCTAATTAGCATGTTACCCTTTTATTATTATAGATTGATTTCAGAGAGGAAGGGAGAAGAAGAAAGAGCGAGAAACATCAATGGTGAGAGAGAATCATTGATTGGCTGCCTTCTGCATGCCCCGCACTGGGGATGGAGCCTACAACCCGGGCATGTGCCTTGACCAAGAATCAAAACGTGAGCTTCTGGTTCATAGGTCGACTTTCAACCACAGCCACGCTGGGTCAGGCAGTCTTGTTTTAATTTTATGTCCTTAACTGCCACATCTGTTTCATCAGCCTCTTCCTCTTCACTTTTGTACAGTTGGAGTCTGTGTTGTTTTTTTTTACCTTTTATTTTTTTAAAATAAATCTTTATTGTTCAGATGATTACAGTTGTTCCTCTTTTTTCCCCTCATAGCTCCCCTCCACCCAGTTCCCACCCCACCCTCTGCCCTTACCCCTCCCCACTTTCCTCATCCATAGGTGTACAATTTTTGTCCAGTCTCTTCCCACACCCCCACCCCCCTTTCCCCCCAAGAATTGTCAGTCCACTCCCTTTCTATGCCCCTGATTCTATTATATTCACCAGTTTACTCTGTTCATCAGATTTTTTATTCACTTGATTTTTAGATTCACTTGTTGATAGATATGTATTTGTTGTCCATAATTTTTATCTTTACCTTTTTCTTCTTCTTCCTCTTCTTAAGGGATACCTTTCAGCATTTCATATAATACTGGTTTGGTGGTAGTGAACTCCTTCAGCTTTTTCTTATCAGTGAAGCTCTTTATCTGACCTTCAATTCTGAATGATAGCTTTGCTGGATAAAGTAATCTTGGCTGTAGGTTCTTGGTATTCATCACTTTGAATATTTCTTGCCACTCCCTTCTGGCCTGCATAGTTTCTGGTGAGAAATCAGCTGACAATCGTATGGGTACTCCCTTGTAGGTAACTAACTGTTTT